CCCTTTTTCAGAATCATTTGACATTAGTAAAATCTTCATAATAGCCACAGTAACAATAGTTCATTAATTCTGACTTGTTTCCTCAGGTCCATTTTATTTTTCTATTATGTTATGGTATTATTTGTATGGCATATTTTTGTTTTCCTGCTAAAAGACTGGTATTGGGTTTATTTTCCAATATTATGAAAATTGAAAACTCTAATAAGGGGGCTGGGGATTTAGCTCAGCGGCAAAGCGCCTGCCTGGCAAGCGCAAGGTCGTGAGTTCGGTTCCCGGTACCAGAGAAAAACCAAAAAAAAAAAAAAAAAAAAAAAAGAGAACTCTAATAAGATGGGCCTTAATATAACTATGAGTCACAAAGTAATTTTTTGGGATTGTTTCCTTCACTAATTTGGTTTTTGCTGCAATTAGTCTGCTTTTATTCATTTTCACAGCACTTTTAATTTATTGGTTTCATCTCTATACAAAATTTCATTTCCATAGATTCTCCAGGGTTAATCCTTCTTTATAATTTTACTTCATTGCAAGGAAGATACCTTGCATTCAACGTCAGCAAGAATGTGAGAAATCCTTTCAAAAATTTTAGTGGTCTTATATTTCTACATAACTCATGATGACATACTTATCTGTTTTGGTCAGCTTTACCTAGAACGTCTAGAAAAGAGTTTTTAATTAGTAGATAGATATGTCCATTTCAAATCCTTCAAGCCCAAATAAAGAGAAAAGGGTAAAGTTTATGTGTGCTGTAGTTTAGTCTATTAAGTCAGTAGCTTACAATGGACTAAAAAAAGGAAGTTTCAGTGGGAGATAACCACCCATGTTTCTGAAGACTTTCTTTTTCTTACCTGTGAATACTGGTGCAGACTGTACTGCTCACTGGAAAGGCTCTTAGCAAAGCCATACCTACAAGCCTGGTGTATTTTTGAGACTAGCCATCCCCCAAATCCCTACCATCTTCCAATGCTTCTCGCCCCTGGCTAAGTGGACAGGGACAGGAAGTATGTGAGAGCAAGCACCCAGATAGCACTGGATGCTCTTGCTCTCATTTCTCTCAGGTATTCCCGACCTCATCACATTCAATCAAGGATTATTTGGCTTCTCTCTCAGTCTGGTTTTATGTCTGAATATCCTGGCATAAGACCCTTATCCCAGATTCCAGCATTTGCAATGAAATTTTTTGTCATTTTACATTATTTTTTATCATTTCCCTGGAGAGCTAGATTTTTTGATGATTATGTTGAGAGAGGTACATCACATGAAAAGTGTGTCATCTTATTATGTTGAGATAAAGAAAAATATTTGGAAGTCAGAGCTAAGAAGCAAACTTTTAGAAGCCAGGAAGTAGAACACACAGCTGGAAGAGTAAAGGTTCATCTTGGAACATGGCAGAGAAAAAATTTTAATCAGTGGATAAGAACAGTTAAAAATGTATATTTGTACAACTCAGATTTTAGGAGATCAAAAATTCATGGAAGATTAGAATAAGCTTAAGAGGTAGGCTTTGGTCTTTTATTAAAAAAAAAAAAAAATTAGGTAGTATGACCTGAAAACATACATCCTTTACTGGACACGTTCTACAGGCTACCTCAAGAACAGTGACATAATCATTTTGCCAGGAATGATACCAAGCACTTCACTACTTTAGTCCATACATATACTCTATGCAGCAAATACACTTATCATTCCCAGTTTACAGATGAGAAACCTAGGAAAATTAAGTAAGTGGCCCAGGATGACAGAGAGCAAGTATTGAAGTCAGGAAATATGGTAAAGAACAGAAGAAAGTTCACTCAGATGTTACTTCCTTGCCATTCCAAGTGAGGTACAGGTACAGGAATTAACATCATCAGTACTACCCAGGAGCTTGTCAAAAGTGCAGACTATTAGGTCCCACTCCACCTTACTGAATCATAATCTAAATTTTAAAAAGATCCTCAGGAAATGCCTTTTTTTTTTTTTTTTTTTTTTGGTTTTTCTTCCGTACCGGGAACCGAACTCACGACCTTGCGCTTGCCAGGCAGGCGCTTTTGCCGCTGAGCTAAATTCCCAGCCCAGGAAATGTCTTAATAATATTAAAGTATAAGCAACACTGTGGTCCTGTTTATAGTACAAGAGAGAGAATATTACCTTATATGCTGGTATGACTGTATAAAAGATGGATAGCGAAGAACCACTTATTGTTACTGCATTCTTAATGGTTTAGTCCAAAGACTGCAGAATTCAAGCTTAGCAAGCATGAGATTTTTAAAGAGGCGTGGACGATGGACTACCTGTAACCTTTGCTACATCTTGAGTCAGGACTGAGAAGAATCAGCAGTAACTCAGTCCAGAAAATGAAGGATGCTTCCCCAGGCAAAGCTAAAAATGGAAACAAGAATAAAACCTCTACTAGGAGGTAGTAGTTACAATGCGCAAGAAAATTCAGAGTTGGAATCCACATCAAGAAATATGATAGACATAACAGAGATTGAAAGTAAGTGAGGAGTTAGGGGACAGGCTTTAGAATTTAGTCAGGATTAGAAATACTGAAAGGATTAGAGCAGCATGCAAAATTATGAACATCTCTTGTGGGACTGTTTTGATAACAGAAGGGATACTCTGCTTACAAGAAAAATAAGAGGATACATCCCTTTTCAAATGTTATGTTTTCATCTCTTTAAAATAGAGATTAACTACTGTCTCAATGACTGCAAATACATAGGTAGTTCCCATTATCAGGGCTCAGCTGACATCTCCATGTGGTACTGCCTGACCACCCCATTTAAAGTTGAAAACATCTCTCCCTAGTACCACTATACCACATCTTCTATCTCCATATCCTCCCTTAGTTTTCCCTAGGACATTTGTTCTTTTCTAAAACACTATTTTTATAAATGTTTGATTTATTGTCTTCCTATCCCTACTGAGAATTAAATTCCACAACAGCAGAGATTTTCTATTTGCTTACCACTGTTTTCTCCCGAACTTAATGTCTAGCTCATTACAGATTCAGGAAATATCCACATAGCAAAAATTCTAAGAATGGACAGTCAAGAATGCAGATATCAAAAGAAAACTGAAATGGAAAATTAAGCAGTGTTAAATGCCTAACTGTACTGTCTAGCTAGATCATAAGTTCATGACAATTCCTTTTTTTGAATCCAAGAATAAAGTAGAATACCAAAATGTTCAATATAACTTACCTAATATCATAATACTTCTAACTGATCATAAGCCTTTAACACTATAGTAATAAATTTGAAGTATGCTAGAGACTTCGACTTAGCTCAAAATTTGTTTTCCTTTATTTCACTCCCAGCGAAGTGCTGATGAGGTAATGCTCTCACATGAGCAGTGAGGCTGGGTACTAGGTGTGGCTTGCCAAGTAAATGGTGAAAATATGACTTTGGGTGTTTTTGTTTTTGTTTGGGATTTTTTTGTCTTTTTGAGACAGGGTCTCACCGTGCAGTTCAGGCTAGCCTTGAGCTCACTTTGTAGCCAAGGCTGGTCTCGAACTCACAAAGATCCTCAAAGATCCTCCTGCCTCAACTTCCACAGTGCTTGGGATTACAGGCATGTGACACCACAACTGGCCTGTGTTTTTGTTTTTTACCAGTATTGAGAACTGAATCCAGGGTTTCCTACATGCAGGCCAAAATTTAGGGACTATGCTACATCCCCAGCTCTTTTTTATTTTTTTAATTTTATTTTTTTTTTTTTTAAGAGCACCATATATTTATTGAGGGAAAGAAAAGAAAGTTTTTACCCAAGAGAGGGACAGAAGGGGGGCCCAAGTGGGTTACCCAGGACTCTGTGAGTGTCGAGGTCCCGTCCATGTGTCCATCCCCCTTCTCCCCCGCCTGGAATTGAACTCTCGACCTTGGGTTTGCCAGACAGGCACTGTGCGGCTGAGCTTAATCCCCAGCCCCTAGGACTCTGTCTTTTCTAGGGACTTTTATAGAGTAAAACCACGAGGTAAGGTGGGTCCAAGGTAGGTGAAAATGGACAAAACTATGGTCAGCCAATAAGGGCTGCTCAGGTAAAATTGATTAAATTAGGATCAAATGGGGAAGCGAGTCACATAGCAAGCAGGCATGAATACAGAACAGGGACTTTTCCTGTAAGGGGTTGGGTCAGGGACTCTTCAAGGTGATTGCTACCTATTTAGAATGTCAACCCCTGAGGTCCATCCCTTGGGAGGTAAGAGGGTGTGTTTGTTTAACCTTTAGTCTTGAGATCTGGCCCGAAGCAAGTACCACCTCTCCATTTGTAAGGTATCCTGTCTTCTATACTGGCTCCTTGGAGGGCCTGGCCCTGTCTGACTGCCTATAATATCTCCACCTAACTCAGCTGCCTATGCCATCCCCCCAGCTTTTTTTAAATACTACTTTGAGACAAGATCATGCTTTGTTGCCCAGGCTAGACTTGCACTGGAAATTCTTCCTCTGACTGCGGGGATTACAGCTGTTTGCCATCATGCCTGGTTCAAGTGTTTTTAGGATCTACAGGAGAGGTCCTGAGATCTTTTGGCATTCCTGTCTGGATTTATTCTCATCTATACCAGATTAAAAGAATTTTGCCTCCTTGCTTGGACAGGCTACTCTAAAATGAAAAGATAGGAAAAGGAAGAAGTCCAAGGGACAACCAGCTTGCATCTAGTCTAGGCAAGGAAAATTCATTTTCATCAGCGTCAAGCTACATTAGAAGGAAAAAAAAAGTATAGACCCAAAATGTGCTTAGGAATCAATATAGTGTTAGCAGCTCTGGTCTAACAAATGTGGAATTGCAATCTTATTTATGAACTGCTCAGGAATAGAGTTAAAATTAATTTTAAGATTAATTAAGTGTATTTCAGGCTGGCCTTGAACTCACTTTCTTATCGATCAGCATAACAGGATCATAAACAGTGTTACCTTAGTGGCCATAAACCTTTTTACGATAAATAACCAATAAATTATTGGCCAGGCGGGGGAGAATATAACAGAGTTTTCAATAAAATGTGAAGTAGTGACCTATTTTACCTGGAATGATCCGAGAATATCCTTTAATGGCTCTTCATAAAACTCATCTCTTCCAAAAAACAGCAGCAACTCAAAGAAACTCCTAGAAAGAATAAATGATAACTTTAATTGCTTCTCTGAGTTTTTGTTCTAGTTTAGAAGATTATTAAGTGATAATGCCTATCTAATAACAAAATTTATCTTAAAATATATGGTTTTAAAAAACTGTATCACTTAAAATTCATATTTTCATTAAGATTTTAAAAGAAATATCTTCCACAAATAATACAAAAATACTGATGTTACTATAGAGAGAAATAGTTATATTACTTAGGCCTATCAATATCCATGAGGCACTAAATACAATTTAATGATATACAACATGGTGGCTGTACCTGAAAGAATAATACAAAATAGACATAAAGTGTAGTTTTACCCAAGAACAATGGGCCACAGAGCAAATTAAAAATCTATTTTTTTCAGGGTAGAAAAAGTGGGTAACATTGAAACAAAAACATAATCTAGACGATAAGCTAGAGGAAATCACCATGAAACTCTTGGCTTGTATTTGTACTTGAGTACATATCATCAAGTATATCTAATAAGTGATATTATTTCCTCAGATTCTCAGTGTACCTTGATTAACTCATTTATAAAAGGATTTGATTATCTCAAATTATTCCTGTGTAAATAATCTGGAAAATACTATTACTAGATAGATAACATTCTTTTAATAATTTATGAGTTCACTAAGAAAGGAATATGCACTATTTCATAATCATGAGCATAGAGAATTATAAAATTATTTTTAAAAGTTTTTAGCAATACTAAAATACAAATGACATAACCCTCCAAAATTCAACTAAGAATACCTAAAGCTGTATTTTAATAAATGGTTTTATTGTTAATCAAATCACAAATGAAGACTGAAATTTAACTTTATTATTATTATTGTATTATTATTATTATTTAGTTTTTTGACTAAGGGTCTCGCTAAGTATTTCAGACTGGCCTTCAACTCACTTTGTAGTCTAGGCTGGCCCTGAACTTACAACAGTCCTCCTGCCTCAGCCTTCAAAGTGCTGGGATTACAGGTGTGTGCCGTTACGCCTGGCTTAGATTGAAATTTTAAAATTCCGATATAACTATGAGAATATAGTTTTTTTTACACTATGTAAAAAACACTTAAGCCAGTTAAAAGAAAAATGACACAGAGAAAAAAACTTTGCTCATTTTTCTTAATTAAAAAGCTTCCACAAGTAATCTTAAAGAGTCAACCACGTAGTAGAAAATAAATGCAAATGGAATTTTTAAATATGAGAAGACATTCTACCTTACTCATAACTTAGTAAGAAAAAACTATGAGATGAAAGCCATTTTTCCTATCCTATTTGCAAACAGTTGATAAATCTTGTGATAGCTCTGGTATACAAAAACAGGTTATGATATCTTGTTGAGGGAATATATATGATTATATCTCCTTTAAGGGCAATGTATTAATAGTCATTAAAATTTAAAATGTACACATACCATCTGACCTAACATTCCAATTTATAAGAATTTCATCCTCCAAATACATTTAAGTTCAAAGACATAAATATAAGGATACACAGTACATAACAAATAAATTTTAATAGCAAAAGAGGAAAACTCCTAAATGTCTACCATAGTGACAGAGTAAATTGCAAATACAGCCACAATGAAATATAATAAAAATATTAACAAGAATAGAATAGTTACAGCTATATGAATAAATAAAAAATCCCAAGATACATTGCTCAGCAGAGATACAGACATATATTTATTTACCATTTCACTTTCTATGGTCAACTGCAGCCAAAAAAATATTAAATGCAGAATTCCAGAGATAAACAATTTAGAAGTTTTAAATGGCACACCTTTTTGAGTAGCATGATGAAATCGTGCACTGTCTACATATGCTGCCTGCCCTTTCCTCACATCAAAACAACTGTCAAAGTACTGCAGTGCTGTGTTGAAGAGCAAATCTTATTTTACTTAAAATGGCCCCATAGCATAAAAGTAGTGATGTAAAGCAGACACCAGGGGATAACAGGACAGATGAACGCTGTTACTATGTAACAGTGCTGTAGGACATGTAAAAACAAACATAGTATATGTAGGATCTGTTACCAACTGAAATGTCAGGCATCTACACCTTGGAATGTATCCCTCATGGATAAGGGAGGACTGCTGTACATTGTCATCTTTGTGTAAAGGAAGTTAGGGAGTAGAAGGCACACCCACACCAATATATAAAGTTTATATAAGTCAGACTGGCTACAGGGATACACAACAAATTAGTAAGATCAGTTGCCTGTACATAAGATAAATAAGATTTAAGGGTCAGAGATAAGGGAAAATTATCTTTTATTACTAACTCTTTTATAATCATTTTACTGTCAATCAGTATGTCTGAAAAAAAGTCGCATCATATGTACCTCCAGAAACGTCACCATCCCTATTAACAAAGCACTAATAAACCACATCTATCTAATCTTTCAAGTTCTAATGGACCTGTTTCCACTCTTGCTATTCCATACTTTCCAAAAATCCAGTATCAACACAGCTGTCATTTTTATCTTTCTAAAACATAAAAATTCTTCCACTGCTTATAGACTTTACAAACTGTTTTGACTGTACCATCTAAGGCACAGAGCTTCAGCTGACACATTTGTTTTGTATGGATAATGCATTGTTTTAAAAGCATTTAGTTAGCTGTCAGTATTTTAAAATTGTGATACAGTATTTCTAGATTTCTCAGTGCTTTTGCAAAACAGGAACCCCGATAACACAAATCTTGTATTTCTACATGATAAAATAAGCTGAGCAGCTAGTGCCTCTTCTCTTCTCTTCCAATTTGGCAGTCTCCATCCACCTTTTTTATTTTATCGATACACTGCCTATTTAATTTATGTATCATTTATATTCCCTTCCTAGCCTATTTAGATATTTGAGATCACAGACCTACATCAAAAACTCCAAATTTATTACCATATTACATTATTAGCTTATTATTAAGAATATTTTTGTCTGATCCAAATCTACCCTTTCACACCAATCTTTTACCATAATTTCCACTCTCTTCAATTCTCCCTATTTTCTAAAATACCTATACCCTTTCAGATCTTCCAACCTATTACTTTTTCAAGACCTGCTTACATGATTTCACCTAGCTACTTCACCTATAAACTCCCTTCTCTCTAGACAAAAATGCAACTGATTCTTCTGTATTTCTGTTCTTTTCAGATGTATCTCTGTTATAACATGTGAAAACAGAGTCATTAAATTTGCACTCAGTAGAAAACAGTGATATTGTATCACAGTGTTGAGTACATAATACTGACTGATGGAACAATTAATTGTATTGGAGGAGAGAATAAAAAGGTTATTAGTGGACAGAAAATATGCTGTGGCAGTAAATTTATAATTAGTAAGCAGATCAACATGACCTTCTAAAAAGTCATATGATATAGAGAGAATTATACTAGTCTGGTTTTTGTTACTATAATGAAACATCTGAGGCCAGATACCTTACAGAGTTTCATTTTGGCTCTTGGTTCTGGAAGTGCAAACACACACTCTTGGGGGTGGGGCGTGGCAGAGGGAGTCATCCGGTGAAGGTTTTTTTGCAAGCAGAGTCCCAAAGTCGCTTAAGGCATCACATGGCAAGACACAGGGAGCATGCATGTTTCTGTGGCCTCTTTTCCTCTGCTTATAAAGCAACTAGGACCCAATCACTTTAATCCAAGCCACTTTACAAAGGTCCCAACTTCAAGCACTATAGTGGGATTCAGTTTTCATCCTCTTAATTCCTCACAATGGGGATTAAATTTCAATACGTAAAGACCCAGGCCACTCAAACAATATCTGAACCACAGCAAAAATGTAGAATTACTGTCTGAATTATGTAACTACAAAAAAAGGGAATTTAACACAGAGAGAGAACTGTGCATGCCCCATGACTACCTACTGCAATAATAAGGTCCAACTTCATGACAATAATAAAATAAGAAAAAAAAAAAACACTTCAAAATAAGAGGAAATAACTATTAAGTAACATGGTCTGGCCACCTGTGTCTTAGAAGATAAGCAAGAAAGTCAACTATTTGTGAAATAAGAAAATTTGAAATCACTAAAGGAGTATCTCTATGATTATATGTAGAAGCAGAAATGTTTCAAATTTGGTGTCATTTATTGACTAGTGTAAAGAATCAACTAAATGTTTATAGAGGTCAATTTATCAAGTCCTCATGAAAGAAAACTCTGCAAGTGCACAGTAAATGAACAACAGAAAACAAAACAAAGGAAGACCCCAAAGCGTAAGTAGTAGACTAGAACAGCGCTGTAAAATACTGCCTATAAGTTAGCTCTAACCCAAGAAAGGTCAATATTAGTATCGTGCATAAGAGAAGAATGCCGTATTTAAATTGGCATTTAGCCATATTTAAGATATTTAAATTGTTTGGAAGAAAAAGTCAAAATAATGTTTCATGACAAGAGAATATTACATAAAATTCAGTATTATTAAGTAAGGCACTATTGAAATACTGTCACACTCATTTATCTACATACTGACTGTGGCTGCTTTCACACTATAATGGCAGAATTAAGCAGAGACAACAGAGATCCCTAATAGGGCTAAAAGCCTAAGATATTTACTATTTGTCCCTTTAAAGACCCACGGTCTGAGGCCCACACTGTTTGAATTTGAGTCACAGCTCCAACTGAGTAAACTTAGTGTTTACAGTATTGTGGTATATGCCTGTAGTCCCAGCTACTCAGGAAGTTGATAGAGAAGGATTGCTTGATCCTAGGAGTTGATGGCCTGGGCACCATAGGAAAACCCTTAGGAATTAAAAACAAAAGGAGTTTCTTGAGACAGAATTTCTGCTCCTGGTGAAGAGGCTATGAACACTGCTGAAATGACAACAAAGGATTAAAAATAATGTACTATAAAAACTTAGCAGAAAAAAGCTAAATTTGAGAGGATTAACTCCAAGTCTGAAAGTTCATATTGTAGCATGGGATGCTGTTTTGATAACCAAAATGGTATTGATATAGTAAACTTCACTGTTATCATGT